GTAGTATATATATATATATATATATATATATATATATATATATATATATATATATATATAGGGGGGGTCATTTTTAAAAACAATTACTTATGTATGTTTTTTTTAAAAAAAAATAATAATTACATTTGTAATGAGAACTATGATTTCTACTAAGAAAATTGCATATGAGATGAATATAAATCTAAATTTCGTAAAAAATAATTTAATAAAAATATGAATAACGAAATCACGAAGTCCCTTGAAGAAACTTTTAGAGTTGATTACTTTATATATGACTTCATAATAGATTTGAACAAATTGAAGCATATGAAATATTTAAATTTTTTATTTAGTGGTAAAATATTGAGATCACTAGAATAAAAGCTAGGGAACCTAAGTCTAGAGAAGAGTCTTGGTTCGAAGTATAGGAAGAGAAGGAGATCACTGAATCAAGTGGCTCAGCTTTGAAAATTGAATTACGAGAATCTGTCTTTACAAATCTACGAAACTTCTCCTTAAGTTGATCACTATGGTCATATGGATTTCGCTGACTCTATTAAATCAAAAAAAATTGATGTTATCTCACCTAAACTCCTCAATCATGTGTTTGTATCAATTGTATAATTTCTCCCTTTTCCTCTATAATTTTTTTCTTGTATTTTGGATTTTTATTTTTTTGTATCAATCGTATATTTTCTTCTTTTTAGCTTTTTTCTCTCTCTTTTTATATACACATTTCCGTGTTTATTGAATTATTTTTTTCTTCTTCTTTTATTCCCTCAAAAATTCGAGTGGACAAACCTTTGAGGAAATACATCTTTGGGGATATCCATGTGTTTATTTATCTATCTATGACAGATGAGTTGGCAGCTTTGAGTATCTATATATGAGTACACAAGTGATACAAAGAGAATAAATATAAGTGATACAAAAGCAAATAAATATAAGTGATATTTGAGCAGAGAATATAGATGATATGATAACTTTGAATATAAATTATACAGGAATAAGTAAATACAAGTGATTTAAGAATGAATGAATACAAATGGTACAAGAATCTGAATACAGGTGATATAAGAGCGAACAAATACAAATTATATAAGAATAATGAATATAGATTATAAAAGAGTTTTGAATACAAGGAATATAAGAGAAATGAATATAAATGATATAAAAGCAGAGAGATGTATCCATATGGGCCTTACCTTAAAATATGTTGTTGTTTTTTTAATTTGCTCAACTGTTATTCATAAGCCACTTCCTCTTTATTAATTCGAACCGAATCGAATCGAATTGAACCAAATTAGTTTGATTTGGTATACGATGCAAACATTTTTAAAATTGAATAAAAATCAAAAAATAAAATCAAAATTTGAAAAATCGAATCGCCCTATGAAAAATAATGTGGAGCGTTTTGCCTTTACTTGATGAAGTTACAATATAACTCTGAACATATACATACACAAGTGAAAGTATTCGCGCTTCGTGTGACTATATAACGTATTTATAAGATAATAATATGAAATATGTAATATTTACATTAGTATCGAATATATAGATAATAGTAATATTTCTTCTCGCCTGCGATATCATAGGATTTTTTTAAACATATAAAATATATTTATTTATTTTGTATTTGTCTGTTTTAACAAAATATTCACCGTGGTGAAGTAAATGGATAAGAGATAATATGTTGAAATAACAATATATTGTATTAGGTTGAAAATATTTTTTATGTTTTAATTTTCTATCTTTTTAGGAGTACTAATGTTCTATTCAAACTCTGATTTCATCAAAATATTTTTTTATTATTATTATTACCTTTGCTTATTATAATTTTTTAACATTAATTAAATATTTATAAGACTTACAAAAAATGAAACATCTAAAGTTATGAATCATATTTAATATTAAACGTTATAAGTAAAATAAAGAGACATGAGAATAATTTTATTAGTCATTTAATGTATTACTAATTATGTATTGATTTTATTTGTAAAATAAATAAATAAAATAAGGGGTGAAAGTACAAAAAATAAACAGAAAAAATATAATAATTGGTGACTACATATAAATGCATTTCAAAGCAAAAAAAAAACGATGACAGATTGTTTTATACGCAAAAAATGACATCATGAAAATAATATTTTATTTTTCAATTACTTTTATAATTATAATAAAAATGAAACAAATCATGATAAATTTTGTAGTTGTTGTTAAAATAAAATAATTATATTAATTTTTTTATGACAAAGAAAAAGTAGAATACTAAAAGACCAAATGATTAACATCGACAATATAATAATTTTTTTTCTAAATTATTTATATAAATCAAAATTTAAAATACTCTAGCAAAAGTAACTAAGTTGCTAATATAATTCAAAGTGGAAAAATAATCTCTAATTATGCTTTATTTTTTTTCCTTTTGTCATCTTCCTTTGCAACGAGATCCGCCATCATGTTTTGATCCATATGTCAAACTCTTCATTATATGCAACCAACTGAATTAAAAAAAACCATATATCAATTAAAAATAGTTATGTCAAAAGAAAGAACGAAATATTAACTATACTTAATATATTTGTATATTATCTTTTCAATAATACTAACAATACTAAATAATAATTATTTCTTGAAATATAACAAATATTATAATCAAACTATATTATAGAATTCAACTATTAGAAAAAGCAATTACATACGAACAACACATTGTTAAGAATTACAGAGATTTTTTTAATCATACTTACTTGATAAATAATAATACAAACATAAAAAAAAATATATTAAGAACGCATGTCTAAGTACATAAAAATAAAAAGAAAGACATTAGAATGAAATATATCTTACCTTCATATATATATTTTTTTGTTACATGTTAGTTAATTCACAAACAAGTATGATGAACAAGAGAAATTATAACTTTGTATGTTAAATTTCGTGAAAATAAATATGAATTTATAACAAAATAAGGAAATGAAAAAATAAAGACTTGAGAACGATATATTTATTAACTTCTTGTACTTTTTTTTTGTTACGTGTTAGTTTCATTCATAAACCGAACACGAATTTATATAGACAAAAATAGAGCAAATAAAAAATAAAAAATTGCAATGAAATATTTCTTACCTTCATGTACTTCTTTTTTGTTACAAACCAAACCTATATGATGAAAAGAGAAAGGATAATTGTAAATGTGAATCTTCATAAAACTATGAATTTATAGGCAAAATAAAGGAATATCATAAGATATTACAAACTTATAAATTTAATTTGGAGGTTATAGACATAAAAATTATGAGAGTTATGAATTTTATTAAAAGTAAAAATTAAAGAGAGGTAAGTAATGGATAATAACTCCTAGTGAATAAATTAAAAAATAAAAATAAAAATACTTAAAATGTAAAAAAAATTATAATTTCATGATTAGATTAGAAGTGAGATAAACAAATAGAAAAACAATACAGAGAATTTTTTTTTTATAAATGTTTCTACATTAAGAAAATATTTATTTGTATAAATAAAGTAATATACTTTTACAATAAAATAATTAATTTGAATTAGAAAAAGTCAAAAATAAATAAATTATGTTTCTCCTTTTATAATAAATGAGATAAATAAATTAAAAAATATAAATAATTTTTGTTATAAATGATCCTCTATTAATAAGATATTTATTTCTAATAAATTTAAATATTTTTTTATAAAATAATAATTTATTTTTAAAAAAAAGCAAAAAATTAAACAAACTAAATATAAATGGAGGCCATATGACCCATCACCTTGTCTATGGTCCTCCTTTTATATATATTGATTGATTTGTAAATTGTGGTAACATAGCAACCAGCCTTGTCATTGTCAATTCCCATTTTCGTAAACGAAAGCATAGCCATATAATAATATGCAACTTTTCCCCACCTCTAAAGATCAAAATGTATAGTATATGCCTATAGGCTATATGCTACACAAAATTATTTATTGGCTACAATAATGACTAGCTACTGCGTCGATATTGTGGAATATACATCTCAATCACACCACAGAAAAAACACACAATGAAACTTAGTAAAGAACACAACCTTGTTTATTAAAAAGCGAAGTCACTATTTTAATTTGTAATAAATATAATTAAATATTATAATAATATTTTTTAATAATTTTAATTAGTTTTTAAATCCTATATTTGCATATATTTAATAAATTTATTAATACATGTATAATATTTAATTAAAATCTACTGAATCCGCAGGCAGAGTACTAATTCTACCTCTATTCCCTTCTAAAAATCTAAGAATGTTCTCGGTTTCCCCACTCCACAAGCCAAATTAAAGTTTATCTCTTTAATGTTTTCGCCTCTTGGAAAAATAATTTGATTCACATATACATCTTTTTATTATTAAATGAGATAAATGACAAAAATACATAAATAATTAAGAGTGAATATCATACGATCATCTATTAGTTTGAGAAACATAGTTCACTGATGTATAAAATCATATGTTTTCTCTTTTATTAAAATAAATACTATCACATAAATATTTCACCTTAACAGTAAAATAAATTATAAACTATTACTATTATTAAAAAGAAATATTAAAGTATTACTATACATTTTTAAACTAAAATTTAAATTACTTTTTTACCCACTCCACCACCTTCTCCCCAGCAATCCCATTCTTTATTTTTTTTTTAATTTCTTTTATAAAATAGTTTTAAAATGCATAGTTCCGCCCCCCACCCCACCCCACGGCGCAAGCACACGCGCAAAAAAAATATTCACCCATTGATTCCCTAAAAAAAATATTGATACTTATTTTAAGAAAATAAAAATTCTACCCCATCCTATTTAAATCTCCATTCTCAATTTTTATTTTTATTTTTACATTTTTCTTGTTTTGTGTTTGAGATGTAAATATATTTTTAGGATTTATTTTCTTGTTGTGTATCGAATATAACATAAATAAAAAATTTACTTTTAAAAAAGTCTTGTGCCAATAAATGAAATATATTTTTTTATATTTATATATCTACCATAAAATGAGAAAAAAATTTGAAAGCGTTTTTCAAACAAACAAAATCATATCTAAATTAATTATTTGAAATGTGGGGGGGGGGGGGAGGGGAGGGGTAAAACATAGTTAAATATTTTTATAAAATAAATTTGAACAATACAGAAATAAGGTGAGAGGAAGTGATGGAGTGGGTAAGAAATATATTTTATTAAAAGAAATTGAAATGATAATTTTTTATCTTTAAATTGTAATTAATATTAATAATTTATTTAATTTTATGAAGGTGAAATCTTTTATTCATATACAGGGTGATGGGAGTTTCCTTAACACATGCAACCATGATGATACTAGTATAAAAGATAGAGATTTTAACTCGACTATCAATTACTAACAATTTAAATCATCATTTACACCATCAAAGGCGATAATTTATCGAGAGAATTTAAATTTAAAATTGTTCAACTAAGAATAAAAAAATATTTATCACTTCATTACAATTTCTATGGATAAATTCCCGTAATTTAATTTTTCTTTGGAAAGTTTTTTTCTTTTTTTGATTAAATCCTTTGGATGTTAATATCTCTGGTGGACTCAAAAATTTTACCAAATCGGTTAACAGATGAAAAAAATAGTATTTCCACATTGTCGTCTGGCTACGTGTTACTATTGATTTAAGTGCGATCAAATTAATTATTTAGAGTATTGTGTTTCAAAAAACAAATTGAATATATACATATTATATACAATATATTTTTTGACAAAATGAATTCATATGAACCCACTTACAATCAAGTAGGTGCGTCCCGGGTTACTATCATATTGTAGGCTACTAATTTACTTCATACGGATAGTTACCTTCATTTGTATTTTAAGTGACATGATAGTATATACAACTAACATTATTTTTAATGTGTAACTATTTAATATTTTCTTAAAAAGCTTGAAGATTTTCAAAGATTTTATCAACTCAAATATATGGCATTCTAGTGAAGACTAAGTTTTAAGTCTATAAACTCTCATATATTGAATAGAAAAATGCCAAAACTGTCCTTGGACTGTTTGTTTCTAAATATATCCTTAAATCTTAATCTATCTATTTGCTAAAATATTATTTTGCTTACCTTTTTGACTCATGTTTGCCCTTGAAAGTTGAAACCAACAAACCTCTTACTTATTTTATTTTTGAATATTTATTTTTAAAAAAAGAAACTGTTTTTTCTTTTTTAAAGTGACAATTGAGGTTCTGTCTTACGCTCAAAAACAATTTTTTAAAAAAATATTGTTTATTATGTGTCGTATTCCTATTTGATGAAATTATAACCGAACATACCTAACTTTGTCATAAAATATACAAATTATTTTATTTACTTATACAAAAAAAAAATTATTTATTCACCATAAGAAACTAAAAAAAACATTATTTTATTTGTTCCCCCGACTTTGTCACGAAACATATCAGTTATATTATTTGTTCACCGGAAAAAAAAAACAGCAAAAAAGAAAAATTATTTTTTTAAGAACAAAAACAACAAAAAGTTAAAACTAAGTTGTCGATTGGTTCGTAAAATTAGTTTGTTATGAACAAAAACAAATTAAAAATGAACAAACAAAATAAACACTACTTCTTTTTTTTTGTTATTTTTGGTGCTGAACAAATAAAATAATCCATTTGGTAGGGACAGGTTTAATTAAAGAAAAAATATTTTAAATCCAACCAGAATATGACACTTCATTTTTTAAAAGAATTATACCAATGCATAAGACAGATCTGACCTCAAGTGTCACTTTTAGGGAAATTAATTTTATTTTTCTTTATAAAAAGAATAGGTATGTTAATTATAAGGGCAAAAGTGAACCACGAATGATCATCGATTGATATTTTTAGTAAAATAAATAAATAACTCACGCCCCGAAAGCTAGCTCAAAGGGAGGAGGATTGTCCAAGCCTTATAAAGAGTTCACCCATCTTATTAATCACGAATGTGAGACTTTTATCATTCTTTAACACCCCACCTCACGCCCAGTGCTTAGCATCTGGTGCGTGGGCAATTTTAATTTTGGGGATCCCAACATCGGGTGAGACGGGCCCTGCTCTGATATCATATAAAATTAGGTCTTAGGCCTAACTCACACCCCAAAAGTTAGCTCAAAGGGAGGAGAATTGTCCAAGCCTTATAAAGAGTCCACCCATCTCATTAATCACCGATGTGAGACTTTTGTCATTCTTTAACATTAACCCTTTCCTGCTATCAAACAAGTTGATTTCTCTTGTGTTTTTTCTCCTTTTGGAGTGGGGTGGGGTTGGGAGTTGGCAAGTAACATGGAGACATGTCTCCAAGTACTTTGGCATAGGATGGCCACTTGATGCAATTGATGAGAAAATGGCAATAAATCAATTTGTCCTTTTGATTGTAGTGATGTTGACACAATTTGGTCCTCATGGCTCCATTATTAGGTTTTAAATTTACTAATTTTACACCTTCCATGATTTCTTTCGATAAATATAAAATTTAAATAAAGCATTATTAAATTTGATTGAACTTATACTCAACAATCAAGCATTGCCCTTATCATTCACTTTAGTCCCCACTCCCCCATTACTTATATGATACCAAGTGGAGGGTATGGTGACCTTCAATTCTGCTAAGCTTTTCACAATATTTTTAAAAAAATAAAGTTAGTTTTTTTTTATATATAATTTTAAGAGTCAAATAAGTGCTAAAAATGGCGTATTCTAAATTGTAAGTTATATTACTTCTATTAAGTTTTTAATTATACAAATTTTATTTTTAATAAATTTAACAATTTCATATCTTTGAATTGACATTTAAAATTAAATAGTTTAAATTTCGAAATAAATATATATTACATAAATTGAGATAAAAAGAATATCCAGATACATGACAAGTGGGTGAATCTCATTGAGCAAAAACGAAAAAGTTGAGAAAAGGGGGTTTAGATGGACCACTACAAATATTTAATGAGTTGTAACCATTGTCTACCACGTTGTATTAATGACTCTAAAAATATAACATCATTCTTGTCATTTGTCAATAATTTTCATGCGAAAATACATGATATCGGAATTCTCTCTTAACTTCACTCATTTTAACCTTTAGTTTGTATATCAATTTTTTTATAAGCATAGCAAAAGAGTGAGAGTTGGGGAAACAATTGAGAAATTGACAAATTAGAAAAGAAGTACATTTTGATCCAATCAATACTAAAAACCAAATGAAAAAAGAAAAGGGGATGGGAAGAGATAAAATATGTGTGCATTTTATATGACTAGGCCATTGATAGGAAAGTAAAACCAATTAAAACATGGTCCAACTACTTTTTCTTG